TCTCTCTCTCTCTCTCTCTCTCTCTCTCTCTCTCTCTCTCTCTCTCTCTCTCTCTCTCTCTCTCTCTCTCTCTCTCCGCGCATGCGGAATCCACTGAGTGTATCTCACAGAAAAAAAGCTACTTTCATGGAGAATCGGAAGGAGACAGTCAAGCCGCTATGGTGGGGGAGGTAGTTACAAGACAAGAGGGAAGAAGAGAGAGGGCATTGGTTCGCAAGGAGACTGGATGTGAGAATTGTGAGGGCGTGTCGGACTAACAAGCGTTCACAGCAAGAATGAGCATATCTTGAGAAGTATATATTCAGTATCTAAAATTTTGTGTTGATTCAAGTTGATTGTAATAATATGAAAACGTTGTTCACTGTTCAGTAGTTTTCCACAGCGTTTCCTCCAACTTTCCCCTTTTCTATTCTTTGGTTCCCCCACCACTAAGAAATTAGTACGAATGGCTTCCGCACGAATCCGCAGATCCTTTCCCTTTTCTGGGCTGCAGGCAAGCCTGTTTGGGAGTGCAAATGGAGGTAGAAGGTGAGATTCATGTGACACCCATGGTAGCCTACTGCGGCAAAGGATCCACCATGCAGTTATAACGAAGGTGCAGATAACCAAGGTGAGAGTTAGGGAGATGATGATAACGATTGTCATGTATTTGTTGTGGAGGAGATATTCTCTGTTCGGCTTGGCCGTCACTGTAGTAGCCTATTCATCATAGGTATCATTCCGAAAAGGGGGAAAGATCGAAAATGAGCTTCCTCTACTGTGACGGCCATTTGTTATGTTGATGTGTTAGCTAATGTGGTGCAGAACTCGTATCTGCTTGGCGATCATCATCCCCTGAACACAACCGGCCCTTGTCACGCGTGTATATAAGCTTACCTTTCCGTCGCTCTGACACGTGGTGATGAATCGGATGGTCAGGGGGAATTGTGGTTGGGGGAAGAAGATAACCTAACCTGTCATGTACTGTTGTCGTTGGTGTTTCCGTTTTGCTATCCGTCATTGTTAGAGGTCCAGGTAGTGCTAACCTGTCATGCATCGGCATCCCGATGAAGGAACATGTATGTGAGAGGATCGCTACCTGAAACATATATATGACGAGTCGGTGAAACTCCGACGAAACAGTTTGTCACAGCCCCTTGTTTGTTGTCCTCTTCGATTTTTTCTCTGCCTACGGTTGAGAGGATTGCTACCCGCAACATGTATATGATGAGTCGGTGAAACTCCGACGAAACAGTTTGTCACAGCCCCTCGTTTGTTGTCCTCTACTATTTTTCTCTGCCCACGGTTTACCATGCAGCTCTGTTTGATGATATAAATGAGAGGATCGGTACCCCTTCCTGTCATGCTGACATGCTGAATGTTTGTCTGGCGCTCTCTCCTTTAGATACTCGCGTTGTTCAGATACGAGCCGGCAGCTAATCTCTCTCCTGGCTGGGATGTATAGGTATCTTCTCCTTGTTGTTGTCAATAAGAATCAGAGCCTTTTTGATTACCGCAGTGAATTTTGAATGCACCTTAAACCACCACTGCCTTTCAGAGTGGAAGGCTAAAAGTAGGAATAAAAAACCCATGCCGCATTCTTGCGAGACCGAGCACCACTGGACCAAAATGGCTGGCGGCGCCAGCCAAAAGTAGAGAGACAAAAAAGAAAAAAGCCTGAATGGCGCTTCGGCAAAGCTTGGCTTACAGTTCTACTCCGCCTCGACAAAAAGAGACATGAAGGTTGTGGTGGTGGTTTACAAAAAAAAAAAAAAAAATCGAAGGAAAAAAGAAAGCCAAAAAAACTGCATGCACTTTTCACTGTTTCAGGTCAGATGCAGGGAAGACTGGTAAGACAAGAGAACAAGGAGGCCCTTCATACGAAAAAATAGGGAAAAAATAAAATAAAAAATAGGGGTTGTAGAGCAGTTTGTGCTCTACAACCCGTTGTTTTTTTTTGTTTTTTTTTCTGGTCTGTTCAGAGTCTTCAGACTGTTTTTACATTTTTTCTAAACAATAATCCTTAAAATGAGTAAAAAAACCCTCCCCTCCCTCATCAGGGGAGGGGTTACAGATCAGAGCTGTGTCGACACTCGTACGTCATAGGGGGGGGGGCGTTGTCGTACGGCCGTACGAAGGTGCCCACTAAACGAAAAAATAGGGAAAAAATAAAATAAAAAATAGGGGTTGTAGAGCAGTTTGTGCTCTACAACCCGTTGTTTTTTTGTTTTTTTTTTTGGTCTGTTCAGAGTCTTCAGACTGTTTTTACATTTTTTCTAAACAATAATCCTTAAAATGAGTTAAAAAAAATAAAGTGAAGAAATAAAAATGATTGATTGATTGATGGATTCATCGACTGATTGTATGTCGTTTGCTTGTTCTTTGATTGATTGATTGATTGATTGACTGACTGATTGATTGATTCATTGACTGATTGACTGACTGATTGATTGATCGATTGGTTGAACAAAAATAAAAAGAAAATACGTGCGCTATTGGGAGGGAACGCACACCCTCCCTCTGTCCGTCTCTCCCTCTCTGTGCGTGCGCACGAGTGAGCGAGCGAGCAAGCGAGCGAGCTCGCATGCGCGCGCGCACGCACGAGAGAGAGAGAGAGAGAGAGAGAGAGAGAGAGAGAGAGAGAGGGAGTGCATTTGTGTGTGTGTTACATACTGCATGTCACACGGGTCCCTTTCGGACCCGACCAGTAGGCTAAGGGGTACTTAGACCGGCCCAGCCAAAGGCCGGACCCCTTCTCCCGGTAGGCCGCATTTGAGGCCTATATTGCACAACCGGTCACGGCCGGGGCGGAAAACTCGGCCGTGGCCGCGGCCGTCGGCCGAATCGGCCGACCAGCCGAGCTTGGTGCAGCTATTTTTTTCCTATTTCTTAGCGCACAAAAAAAAAAAAAATGGGCGTGTAGGGTTTTTTGAACCCCACACGCCTATATTTTTTGGGGGGGCATTGTTGTTTTCTATTG